GGGAAAATGGATATTGCAGGAGACAGAGCAGAGATGGAGGAGTAAGAGACAGGAAGGACTATTAAGTGCAGAGTTTCTCAAACTATGGGTCATGACCACTTAAAAGAGTGCCAGGACGTGTCAGAGGACAGCAGGGTCCTCCTTGGTTTAGTCAAGTAGGAGCCAACTGAAAAAAGACCTGGCTCCCCTCTACCCATAGAAAAAAAAGATTAATTTTGGGCAAGATTGGCATCCTGGTCCAGCCTGGATGGGAATGCAAGTTGGAAGAGGGGCTGCCTGGCTGTCCTCCATCCCTGGGCAGGGGGAGCCAGCTGTGAACTCCCCCTACATGTTTTCATGTTAGAGAGGAAATGGTTACAAAACCCTAATTGCATTAATCTCCTCCTTGCAAAAGGAGGAGAAGGCAGAGGTGAAGAGAAGAACCCCGACAATTCAACTAATTTGTGTTTCCCCAGCCTGGACTGAGGTGCTGCTGGCTGAGAGCTGGCATGGAGACAGATGAGTCAAAAAAAGAACATTTTTTTAAAGTTTAAAAGTGTTTGTTTCAACTTTTGACACAGCCCACCCAGCCTCCAGCATCCTCAGCAGGGAGCCAGGCACCCTGAGCTCTGCAAGCCACACCATCCACACAGACAGACCTTTTCTTTCAGGGTATAAAATGTTTAAACTTTTGTTTATTGGCAAAATGTGAGCAACAGGAACAGGTGAATTTAGGTGGGATCACAAAAACTTACAACGTGTTTTCTGAGTAGACAAGTTGTGCCAAAGCCTGGCATTGACAGCCACCTTCCCACCACCCCTTTGCACTTCATTGAGAACAGCTGCCCCCCAGTTTGGTGATGTCTTTGTACTCCCCTGCCTGCTCCCAACGCCTTGGAAGGCAAGAGCTGCACACCCAGGGCGTTTGCAGCCCAGATGGTGTAGGTTGGAGAAGGTGAAGGAAAACTGAACCCAAGTGGAAAGGACTCATCTGCTTCTCCTTCCAGCTGAGAGAAAACCCTCACACCTGGCTGCCCTTTTCCCGGCTGATCTGGCTTTGTATCTTTTAGTAATGGAAATTCAAGGCAGCTTTCTCTGTGCATGTTTCTGAGAACTGTGCGTGACCTCCAGGGTTAAAGCATCTCTCGTTCACCTGCACCCTGTGTCACCCAGTGCCACCCCATGCAAATCCAGGGAGAAGTGGCACAACCGCAGCCCACAAAGGCTGCCTTTGTTATTTAGTGTAATTTAAATGCTTATAACACCAGAAAACTACTGGTTTAGCTAAGCCTCTCCTTGTCTTACTTTTACAGAGCCTTTCCACCTTTTCGAGGTGAGAAAAGCAGCCAGCAGCCTCCTTGCCCTGGTCCTGCAGGTAATGATGCTCCATCCCTTGTGTCCAGCAGCCAGCGCTGCCCAGGGTGATGGGAGCCCTCCGAGCTTGTGGGCTCCCAAATCCTGTCCCGGGCGATGTCCCGGGGCTGTGTCCTGTGCAGGCAGCTGCAGGCACAGGAGGTGATTCGAAGCCATCGAGCAGCCTCTGGTGGAAGCTGCCTGCTATGTGTGTGCTGCATTCCGTGTGTGTGCTGCAGAGCCCGCTCGGTATTCCTGGGAATGGGGCGGCTCATCGAGGGAATATTTCCTTCTCTCATTGCAGCACCCCGTTGGTAACATTGATCCACCTCCCCTTCATATTTTTGCCTTTGTTTCTGTGTCTGTTGGGGAGCAGGGCTGCCCAGCCATACTGTTCCCATGTGCTTGTTCTTGCTGCAGGAACTCTTTTGGGTTTGCTCCCATGGGATTTGATGAAAAGCCCAAGAGGATCAGGATGTGAAGTGCCCTCAGGCTGACGTGTGACGAGTGACAGGACCAGGAGGAACGGCTTCAAACTGGCAGAGGACGGGGTTAGATTAACTATCAGGGCGAAATCCTTCAGCTGGCACACGTTGCTCAGAGAAGCTGTTTGCTTGATCCCTCCTTCCTGTGAGTTATTGTTAATAATGTGGGGATGCTTTTGTCAGCATCCTAAAGGGCTTTAACAGCATCATCATCGGGGGCCTCCTCCACATCCATGGCCCAGGAGTGCCCATTTCAGCCCAGCATGAGGCTGTCAGCTCCTGTCCCAAGGATGCTGCAGGATGCTGGTGTCCAGCTCTGGCCACATCACCATGAAATCACCTGGTGACTTGGGCTCTTGGATATACCAGCATTTGATCTCCAGCTCTGCTCTGTGCTCAGGTCCTGTAGCCCAGCCCATAGGGAACATCTCCTCTGGGTGTCCTTAGTGCCCTGTGGTGTCCCCTTCAATGGGAACAAATCGTGTGCTTTCTTTCCTGAAACAGGGGTATTTTCCATTCTGTTGGTCCTGTGGAGTGAAGGATAAGCTGCACCTATAGCAGATGTTAATTTTGTTGACCAGCTTTTCCTGAAAGCCCAACTTGCTCTTATCCTTTGCTTTTGGGTGGGGGTCAGTATGCCTCAGCTCTGGGGGATGAGTTCTCTCACCACCAGAACAGTTTCCCCGTTACATATCCAGAAAGGAGTTGGAACCTATGGAAGTTCCTTCTTGTCTTGCTCAGTAAAGGTGCTCTGTCATCTCTCTGGCTTTCCAGTTGCAGCCACCTGTCTCAGTCCGGATCAAATATCTTCACATTGCATCAGTGGATTTGCGTTTCTTTTCTTATTTTATTGTTTTCCTTCTAGAAAATGAGCTTGAATTATTTTCAAGTCCCCTAGATGTAAAGAAATCTATTCCTGCCCAGATCTTTTAGCTCTTCAGCCAGGAAGCAGACAGCCTTTGGTTTCTTGAGCAATCTGTGTGATCATCAGTAGACACCTGCTAGACAAGAGGAGGTTACGTGGAGATGATTCCCAGAAATGTCCATTCTGCCTTCTTGTGCACCAGCACAACACTTCCAGACAGCTGCTCTGTCTCAAGCCTCTCAGACCCACCAGCAGCTGCTCCCATTAACCCTTCTTTTGGTGTTTCTCTCCTTGATGCTCCAGACAGAGCTGCCACTGAACTGTTAGAGGCAGGTGTGGGATGGTGTCAGTGCCCCCATGGCTGGGTGCCCCAGGTCCCAGTGTCACTGCTCGGATATCTGGCTGCTGCAGGTGAACTCCCCAAGCCCCACACCTCCCAGTTACCCCACTGCCCCTCCCATGATGTCACCAGGCTGGTCTGAGCAAGGATCTCTCTTCCATGTGGTTGCCATTAATTCCACCACCGCAAGCATCAGCCTGAGGTCCCAGGCCATATCAAGCAGTCGATCTCTAATTGTCATATCCGACAATAAAACAAAGGGCTCAAAAGGAAAGAAGGAATATTAAGGCCAAGAGCTTCCCTCTGCCCATTGCAGGTGGCTCATGAGAAGGCTTGTATGGAAAACGCCCCCTTTATCTTGTGCTGTGTCCCTCTCGCAGAGGAATGAGTCAGGAATTTCATGCACGTAGAGCAATCGCCAAACTGTCCCTACAGGTCTGCCCAGGACCACGGCTTGCCGAGCAGCTGCTTGTTTACCTGCCACCATTTCCATAGCATGGGTGTGCAGCCACATTCCTGGGAGCCCCAGGTGCTCCCACCTGCCCGACCTGTCCGTGAGCGGGAGCGAAGCTCGCAGCCACCGTTTGAGAGATGCGATTGCCACAGGGAAACACTGCCAAGGATGCTCAGCGCTCTGCTGGGATGACTGAGGAGTCAGCTCAGCAGCTGGGGTGTAAGGCAGAGCTGTGGCATCACTGCTGGTGGATGGAGGGGCTTTACAGCAGCTTTACAGAGGGTCTGAGCTGCTGGCAGGGCACCGAGCTCTGGGATGACTCAGAGGAGGAGCAGCTCAGCTTCAGTGCTCCAAATCCCCTTCCACAGAACTCTCCCTGTCCGCTGGCCCTGGAAATGTCACAGGGAAACCACCCTGCTCAGGTTACGTGTCCTATTAAGCAAGAGGGACGCGTCCCTCCCGAGCCTCGGAGGTGGCTGTGCCAGCACAGCGGGGCCCGCTCGCAGGGCAGCTTTTGGCAAGGCAGGATGGGCTGCCTGGCTCCCAGATACGTGGGCAATAACTTCCTATTGCTTTTTACCAGCGCCGGGCTGATGGGGAGCAAGAGCATCTCCTGCTTTTTCCTGGAGCTGCTGCTGTCTGCAGCACTGCGGGGGAAGGCTGTCCCTGCCCAGCCTGGGCAGGGAAATCCGTGCCAGCATTTTCCTCAGGGGATGCTGAAGTAGCTGCACTTCAAAGGCTCCGGAAGTGTCCATTTTGCCTTGGGTTCCACCAGCCCACGGTTTAGGGTGAAAGCTGCTTGTGTCAGCAGCTGGAGCTGGGAGGAAACCCGGGCTAAGCTAGGGCTGCCGGCCAGGATCAGCCTCCGAGTCATCCAACCTTTCCTCACTGGTCCCTAATACATCCCCAGCCACTGCGAATTGTCCCCAGAAGAAAATCCAGGATGATCATGGGCTTTCATCCTGCACTTGAAGCAGCCGTTTGTGTCAATTTGGGCACATCCCTTTCCCTCTCTCGAGTGTTTGGGCTGCGTGTTGTCGTGTGCCCTGGGCTGTGCCACTCTAGTTTAGTAGGATGCTGCTGCTACTGCTGCTGCTGTCACATTTCTTTTTCCTTTTTTTCTCTTCTTCTTAAAAAGTGTCAAGTTGTATAAAACAAAAGCTTCCCATCTTAATCCTGGATGAATTATTTAAAAGGGTCTGTTTGCTAATGTGATTGACTTCAACCAACAGCGCAGGTTGAGCTGTAATTATGGGAAAACAATCAAATCTCTATCTGGGTTCACACCATACTGGTCTTGCCACTTTTTGTGTTACAGCAGAACCTGTTGGGCAGCTCTAGCTAAGCTGAGCCTCCTTTCTGCTGCTGGGGCAAAGAAAAGCAAACCAGTAGAACCAGTCAGGCTGCAAGGAAAAATTACGGCTTATTGTCTGTGCAAGTTCACCCACACTGCTCACTCCTGTCTCCAGATGACCGTCTCCTGATCACGACTTAAACTGAGCTCCAGGAGCAGAGGAAGAGGCACAGGCGCGGTCCTCCGACGTGAGTATTGTGCTTGCACTGATTTTTATCTGTCCCCCAGCATCCCGGGCAGTGTTGTGTAGCTGGGAAGGGAGCTGGCGTGAGCCACGCATGGAGAGCTGCCCAAAATTCGCTCAGAAGAGTGCCGGGAGAGCTGTCACTTGGTGCTGGCAGACGGAGCCTGGTCCAGCTCCCATCTGATGGGCAGAGGTTGGTGTGTCACAGGTTTTCGTGCTTTTCTGTCCCCTCTCAGAGTTGGAGGAGGGAATCTGGATTTGTGTAGCAGCTGGGGAGCCGATGGTTTGTGGCAAAGGGGCAGCTCTGCGGGGTCGGTGGGGAGTGGACCTGAGCTCACCCGGTCTGTGCAGAGCTGCCCAGCCACGACCCCGGGGCTCTGCTCTTAACAAAAACTTTTCCTCTGGCGTTTTCCACCTGAGCGAGAAAGGAAATGGGATATCCCCCTGCAATCCGAAATGCTGAGAAATGGCATCCAACTCCACTCAGACGGAGTGAAATAGCTGTGGAGGGTCAGAGCAATTTCTGGGTGTCAGGGTTTTTGTGAGTACTGGGGAGCTTAGTCGTCTTTGCATCCAGCGAAGGGGGGACTGGAGGCAGGAACAGAAAACTTCTCTGAGCAAACATTCAGCAGTGTGACAGCCATGGATGAGCAGGGCTTTGGCCATGTGGGATGGACTGTGTGGGATCCAGGATGTCCCCATCCTGGGCAGGCAGCACCTGAGTGTTAGTGCTGGGTGCTGGGGGGCATCACCCCCTTGCACACCTGATCCACCTTCCATGCAGCATCTCAGACAGCCCTGACCTGCACCAAGCCATGCACGTGCTGGGCAGTAAATAACTTTAAATGGAATTATGGGTCTCCCACCTCATTTCACACCTTGAACTCATCTCTGTTGCCAAATCTAAGAACAAATTTCTTGCTTTTTCCCTCAGTGGCAGCTTGGAGCTGGGTTGTGATGACCCCTGCCAACCATCTGTCCCTGTTGTGTCCCTTGTGGGACATCCTGATAGTGCCCTCCTGGGCTGTCCAGATACATTCCTTCAGGCAGCATAAATATTCAGAGAGGCTGAAGCCCGCTGGGCTTCCAGCAGCCCCAGGCACGAGGTGTAATGGTACCCAGGACTGGCATCCTCCTTCCCTCTTTTAAATGCAGGAGGAAGGAAGTGATGGTGGGATTGCTGCAGGGGAGAGGCTGTGCCCACACACACTGCTCCCTGAAGGGGAGTTTGTTGCTGTGGGTTGGACTGTCCCCACTGCCTGCTCCTTGTCCTTGGGACAGTGCCACTTGGGGAATGTCCTGAGAGCATTTACAGAGGAGATGATCACAAATCCTCCCCTGGAGGATACAGGACACTGATGCATTGATTCAAAACCCAGCCTAGGTAGCAATGTGTCCCCAACACCAGTGTGTCACTAGCATTTGAGACATGCAGAGATGCCTCAGTCTATAAAAATGCACAACTCTGTCTGTCCCAACTTCTGGACAGCACAACACGGGGGGCTGAGTTGGTAAGACTCATCCTTGGTGCTGCAGCAGGGCTAAACACCAAGGAGGGTTTAGCAGGGCTAAACACCAAGGAGGGTTTAGCAGGGCTAGGTCATCCTGGCACATTTCTCCTTTTTTAAATGGTGCTGAAGAGAAAAGTTGATCCTCTCCACGACTTCATCATCTGGGGATATCCAGGGATATCTCCATACCCAGAAATCTGTTTTTTCCATTTGCATGGCCATTATCTTGACTCAGGAGCCCATGCACCTCTCACACAGCAGGAGCAAGATGCCAGTTTATGGAAGTGTGGTTGAGAGGAATCTTTTTGCCCATTCTCCCACACAAGACCTGCTTTCCCATGCAGGACCAGGAATGATGAACTCCCCATGTCAGGAGCAGTGTGGGCTCTGAGCTGTGCTGCTGGGGAGGTCTCCTGCCATGGAGGAGAAGACAGTGAGACCAAGATGCTCTCCAGGCGCCACGAGCAGCATAACGGGATCAGCAGCACAGGGTGGGGTGATCACCACCATCTATCAGAGATTCCCAGGGTATTTTCCTGCCAGTTTGCCCAGCCAGGGGCTCTGGAGCTGGGGGTGGCAGTGGAAGTGTTTTGGATGGGCAGTGACCACATGCCTCCAATCCCAACAGGGCCTTGAGCTATTCCTGAACCTCACCACTTCTCAATTAAATCACCCCAAAAACGTGATAATGCCTCATTACCCACTTCCCAGAGCATTTTGAGGTGTTAATTGAGTAATGTTTATAGAATCTGTGGTTACCCCGAGATGCACAGGCAGATAAGTGGATACTTTTCATCTTCTACATTTCAATCATCTTCTGGATCCTCATGTGGGCAGACAGGCTGCCCACAGATCTGCCCAAAGCCCACCACACTGGGGAGCCTCCTGGCCGAGCTGGTGGCTCCAAATGTCATTTGTCCTCAAGTGGGGAACAGAACAAATATTTACTGTTAAACCTCAGCAAACCAGCAGGAGTTGGGGAGGGGGAGGACAAAACGTCCCTGCCAGATGGGGCCAGTGCAAAGAGAAACCCCCAGACTGCTCACCGTGCTGTGTAACAGCCAGTCAGATTCCTGAGTATATTCAGGTATTGCAGAGGAACAACAGCTCTGGTTTTAGTGATCCTGCAAGCCCAGGGCAACCAAGACACTGTTGGGAGGAGGGATGTCCCTATTGCAAGGAATAACAAGGACTCTTGAGGGGAATAAAGGCTCTTTAGCAGAAATGAGGTAACAGAAGAAAACTCAAATTGGTGATTGCCACAGCAGTTGGAAAAGCAGAAGCTGCCTCCACAGGGTCAGGGTGGTGGGAGAGAAATTGAGCTGCTGAGTTTGTGATCACCAGGGCTGTGCTGTATTATGGCAACAGAGACTTTATGGGGTAGAAGTAAATCAGTGTGCAAGTTGGGACTTGAGGCTGGAGCTGCATCTTGGAGGGTTTGCTCCAGCTCAGCTCTCCCTGCAGTGGGACACGTCTGTGCACACCTGAGCAGGGGCAGCATCTCCCTGCTGCTGCTGATCCTGTTGAGCTGCTTCAGGGGGCTGTGACCAGCACCAGTCCCCACAAAGCCAAAGGGCCACTGGGGCAGGTCACAGCTCCACATCACCCCAGTGGGACCCCCATGTAGCAGGGGCAACCCTGGGGCTTGCTGCAAACCGGCCCCTGGGCTGGTGGAGCAGCACGGAGCAGCTGCTCTGCTCCAGGGAGGATTTTCAGGTTGTGCGAGGTAGAGGAAAGCACCAAATCCTCCTCCCTGGAAAAGCAAGAGCCAAGGCTGCTCCTCCTGTCTCACTTGTTGGGAGGTAATTTTGCAATCTGGCAGCCCATGTACAGCACCCACAGCACAGTGGAGAGCAGGCATTGGGCTCCATTTTAGGGCAGTCTGTGCCATGTTAAGTCATGCAAATAAATAAATACCCAGCAAAAAAAAAATCTCTCAACGTACCAAAAAAGCCCTCTTCAAACTGCCAAGTGAAGTACATCAGCACAGAGCATTAGCTCCACACTGGCCTGTGAAATACTCCTGGCACTGCAGATTTTCTATGAGTGATCAGGCAGTTTTCCTGAGTACAAACTTGTTTTATAATTCTAAAATTAGACCGGGAACATAGGATGGTAGCCAAGGAAAGAAAGTTTGGCTGGTCAAAGCAGCTCTGCCCAGCAATTGCCCAGAGAAAGGTGTGTGACATCAAATCAGCCTGGAGCTGAGCAACTCCAGCACTGCTGATGGGGAAATATCTGGTGGTAAATCCATTAAGCTTCATTGATCTCACAATATCAGAATGTCACAGTCCTGCCTTTTTCTTTTCTGCCTTTTTATTTTTTTTAATGACTTAAGTTCGTTTAGCTAATGAGCTGCTTTATCCTCCTGAAAGGAGACATGGCTCAGGGTGGGGATGTGCTGTGGCTCACTGGGAGTGTGACAGGCAGTGCTGGGATGGTATTGAAGAGTCAGGAATTCCCTGGGTACCAAGGAATGGGGGTTGGCTGTGCTGTTAGATTCAGCTGTCCAAGTCCATCCCTTCCCCAGCCCCCTCAGATGGGGCAGAAAATAACCTCCCTGCTGCTTTTCCCAGCCACAACAGGAGCATCCCACCCAAGGAGCGATGCCTTTGGTACCCAGGAGATGCTGGGAGCTGCCCCTGTGTCCCTAACTGGAGCCCTTGTCTCTGATCTGAGCATCGAGGGATGCAGAGAGCAGGTGAGCAAAGCCACAGCAGTTCACAACAGCTCACCCCAGGTCTTGGGCTTTCCAAACCCTCCAGATTTAGGGGCTGGATGAGGAGTTTGCCTTTAGTCCCCGACACTGGGGCTGTGCTTGCAGAGGGCCCCCATCACTTGGAAATACACCCGGCCCTGCCGGAATGCCAAAGGGCTGCTCCAGCCTCATCACGGGGCTGCATCCAGCACCACCAGCTCTGTATCACAGTGACAGCTCTGCAGAGGGCTGGAAATGAAATCCCTGTCTCAGGGCCTGAGCTCCACACTGAGGAGCTCCATGGTCTGGGCTTCAGCAATAAATCTCCCTCAATAAATCCTCCAGAGCAGGATAGAGGATCAGGGAGCTGCAGCTTCACACCTTCACAATCCACACCAGGTGAGAGGGAGCAAAGCTGAGCCCCTCAGGGAAACTGGGCTGTTTTGCTGCAGCAAAAGTCTGAATCCTGGGAAAAGACATATGGGGAGTGATGCTCATGAAGGATCTCTGTTACTGTGTGTGCTCAGACGAGACCCGGTGTCCTCGACATGTTTGCCACAGAGTGGCTGTTCCATCTGCTGGCAGAGATGGGTTCTGGCATCTCAAAAAGCACCAAAACTGGCAGCTTGTCCCTGCTGATTGGATCTGCAGCAGGGCACAGGTCCCCACTCACCTGAGGGCTCCGAGGAAAAGAAAATCAGGAGTAAACCCCAGCCCTGGTGGCACCACAGCCTCAGCTGTGCATGGAAGGCGATGCTGCTGCCCACACCCCAGCCCCAAATCCTGATCTGCCGAGCTCTGCCCGCAGCACTGAGTCACAGCTGCAGGGATCTGCATCCAGCACCGAGCACCTGGGCTGCCCCCACACCTCACACCTCCCATCACATGCCAGCCCAGCCCTGCCTCCCTGAGCAGCGGGCTGGCACCAGTCCCAGCCAGGGTGTCACCTTCCCGTGATGGCTGAGCTGAATCCCTGTGTCTGGAAATGGTGGGTTCAGCCCTGGGAGACACCAGCCTTGGGGAAAGGGCTGTATCCTCTAGTTCAAGGTGGGCAGGACCCGATCCAGCAGCAGTGAGCACGGTAGGAGCTCATGGAGCCAGCAACTCCTCTGCTCCCAGCTGCAATCCCTTCCCAGATTACAGCACTGAGAATGCAATGGGAATTAGAGCCTGAGCGCTTCAGAGCCTTCCCAGCTGGCACTTGGGGTGTCAGTGCCGTGATGGCAGTGGTTGATCTCACAACCTCCCTTCAGCCCTGGGGAGGTGCTTTGCCCAGGGCAAAGCCTAATTTAGGACTCAGTGATCCTGGGAAGTGCATCCCATTAACATCAGGAGGGGTTTTTTTCTGTGTTGAAGTAGAGCTGCACGTTATTTCCCTTGGCTGCTTTTTCAGCTGTGGCTCCTGGGGCTGAGATCAGTTCCCAACCCCATCCCACAGGGGCAGATCTCCAGCTGGACAAGCCATGCTTTAATTCGCTGGGTTAGATCACCCAGCCCTGGGAGCCCAACCCTGGTGGGTTATGCCCAGGGAAGAGGGAGTAATGAATATTTTTAATTGTTTCCCCAGAGAGTAAGATCTCTACTCTGTTTGCATCAGATTTGCTCAAAAGCCAAACGAAGTGGCTCCAGGATGGTTCATGTTGAGGCAGCTGCTGAGCCGAGCCGAGCGTGCCGAGCTCGCTGCTCGTGCTTGCTGGCGCGTGCCTCATTTCTTTTGAAAATCAGATGCTTTAGGGGAAACTTTCTTCTTCCAGCTCTGCGTGCCCACATCTTGCATATGCAGGCGATCTGGCACATCCCTGCTCCTCATGCAGATAAAGGCACGGGCGGGAGCAGGGCTGGGAGAGCGCTGGAGCCCAGCACAAACCTTGCCCGTGGGGCTACAAAGCCCAGGTCCCAGCCCACCCTTCACTTTCCAGCAACAGAGGGGAGGTTTGCTCCCTGGCCATCTCTTCGTGGTGGAAGGCTGAGTGTCCAGGTGCTTTGTTGGGATTGGAATTACTCACCATGACTCATTAACCCAGAATGATTTGGGGGGGAGAAGTTCCCAGGTAGAGATGCTAAATGTCTTCGTGTGGAAATTCCTCTTTCCCAGTGAGGTTTTGGTGGTGTCAGAGGACCCCAAGGGTGCTCTGCCCATGCCAGCTTCCTGCAGCTCTTGGTTCTGGACACCATCTCCTCCTGGTTTCTCTGTAAAATTGGGTGAAAAAGCTCTGTTGGGTGTCTCCCAAGGGTTTAAAGAGGCCAGAGCCAGCGAGGCCATGCAGGAAACCTGGGCAATGACAGTGGGGTGGCCAAGCGCTGTCTGTTGCCTCTGTAAAAGCTGTGCATGGTGGCAGAGGGAGGAGGGGTGCAAGGGAGCATCCCAGCAGGAGATGAGTCCATCAGACTCAAGCAAAACTGAGTCTGTGAATTTTTCCATCATCAGTCCCCATGTGGTCCCAACAGGAGTTCTGCAGTCCCTTCTTTATGTTCAAGAAGATGCCCTGCCCCACCTCATCCCAGAGAAATGCAATTTAAACAGCTCAACAAGTAGAGGAAAAGCCTGCTTTTCCAGCTGGGCTTCTCCTGGTATCTAAGACATGCCCTTTGCTCAGCACTGAGGCAGGGTGGACAAAAATGCATCCCATGGTTTAGCAAATGATTTCCCTTCCTAGCTTTGGGCTTTGTCCTTTCCAAAACACCACATGCACCACACACATCTCTTTTGTTGGGCTTTTTCTTTCTATTTTAGGCTGAAACCTGAATAATTTGAAGCAAAAGGACATCCTCACACTAGGCACGGCCTGGTGTGTGGCTCAGCCCTGAACATGACCACGGAGAGTTTTGCAGAGTTCCTGAACAAGCTCAAGGAAATCCATGAGAAAGAGGTCCAAGGTAGGGAAACAAAATTTTCTTATCAAAAGCTGGGCAAGATCCATTTCTTTGTAATACCACAATGATCCATTTGGTGTCAAATAACCTGGAGGGAGGAGGAGCAGGTGTGGATTAGGGAGATTTGGGGATTAGTGCTGAGCAAGCAGCACCCACGGGGATGGATTGGGACACGGGGTCACAGCCTGTCCCTCAGGGGAGAACACCCCTGCTGGCATACTTGTACCTCCTGAGAAAAAAGTCACTTTTTGAATGATGAGAAGGAGCAGAAGAGAGAGGACATTCCTGCACTCCATGCTGCTGGAAAGCAGGCCAGGGAGGTGCTCAGTCCCTGCAGGGATCCCACTTGCTCCAAGCATTAATCATGGGGGATTTGGCTCCTTTCCTGCCCCTGCTGTGGTGGTCTGGGATAAAGGTGAACTGGGAGGTTTTCAGAGGAGACACAGACACCTGCTGGGCATCTGCTCCAAGCAGTGAGGATTGGAGTGTATTTGGATACTGAAGGATCAAAGGGAAAGCAGAAAGATGCAATAATCTATAAGACAGAAGCAGCAGGAGATGAAGCTCCGTTAAAAAAAACGTTTGAGTCAGGTTGGATAGCTTATTCCTCTAGGGAATAAATTATTTCTTAGGCCATACATTATTAAAATAAAACCCATTAGGTTAAGCAACCAAGTGCCAAGTCCAATTGTTTTCCTATTAGAATAATTCCCAGTATCAATATTATGAACAAAACTTCAGCACTTTTGGATGATTCTGGCTTATGAATTCATTCTTCTCTTGTGTAATTGCAAGCTGTGTGAGAGTTAGAGGAAACTGTTGAGCAATTTAAACCACATGTTTACATCTACTTTGCATAAAATGGATTTGACAGGATACAATGTCTGCAGATCCATCAAGGAAAGCCGTTCAGCTGTAAATATTCTCCAAGATGCTTTCCAACCCTGAAAGCTATAAAATACTGCCCACCTGGGAAATGCAGGCTGTAGTGAGAAATAAGTAGAAACAAAACTAAACCAGACTTTTTGGATCTGTGAAGGAAATGCAGGCTCGTTAAATAGTGAGGATACAAAAGGAGTTCACATTTTGTACAAAAACTTTCCCAGTTACACTAAACTGTTATTGAGTTTAACACATGCAATGTGTTATTCCTTATCGGAGATAAGGCTCGTGAATGGATGAGATTTCTGCAAAGCCACGCACCTTCCTGGAGTTCCATCAGTGCTGTTTGCTTCTGAGTGCTGGGGAATTGGCAATAAACACCCACGTGTCTGTGTCTGTTCATTATTCCAGGGCTGCACAGCAAGGTGACAGAGCTGACGACAGAGAAGTGCCGGTGAGCAATGCTGGGCACAGGGGGAGTTACAACGCTGGAATTTCAGACTTCCCGAGTTATTCTCCAATACTGCTGGATTAGACAGCACCATTTGCCTTCCTGGCACTGCCAAATTCAAGCCTTTTGGCTCCAGCCAGGGCTTGGGGTGATCCCAGCCCAACTCTAGTTTGCCTTCCCACTGGCAGGTGATGCTTGTGCCACCCTGTGCTTGCTCCCTTGGAAAACAATAAGTGGGAGGAATTAAGCTGCTAACTCCAGGGACGGTGTCACAGGGCAGCACCCAGGCTCCAATACATTTCTTTCCCCTCCTGACACACAAGAAAAAGGGCATTGTGGATGAAGGCATGGGTTTTGGGGAGAAATCTAATAACTCTCTTTTCTTTGTTCTGTTTCTTCAACTAGAGATGCTCAGAGAATTGAAGAGCTGTTTGCTAAAAATCACCAATTAAGAGAACAACAGAAGGTCCTTAAAGAGAACGTAAAGGTGTTAGAAAATAGGTAGGATTTGTTCTCAAGTAGGGTGCTGCTGAGTGGCAGCAACTGCAGGGTCCTAGGGGGAGAGTTTGGGATTTGCTGTCTTGCCAGGAGTGGGATGTAGCAGATGAAACTCCGTTTTTCCTATACTCAGCTGCTGGGAGAGCTGGGAGAGTCTGGGCACATGCATGGGAGCTTTCCTAGCCTGGTGGTGGTGGGGCTGGATCTGGAGGGGAGCAAGGGCCAGTGCTGGGTTGCAGGTTTCTAGATGATAGTCTGGGTGTTCACATTTACCAGTGGGGAGGGCAGGAACTTATTTCTCCCACAGAAATCGTGTGGTAATGAGCTGTGGGGTTTCCTTCCTCCAGGCTGCGAGCTGGTCTGTGTGACAGATGCATGGTCACCCAGGAGCTGGCCAAAAAGAAGCAGAATGAGTATGAGACCTCTCATTTCCAGAGCCTGCAGCACATCTTCATCCTCTGTACGTCCTGACACCCACTGTGAGCTTGGCTTTGGCAGGCTGAGTCTTTGCTCAGTTAATCCCTCTCCCAGATATTTGCATGTGAGCCCTTGCAGTGAGCAGGAATCTGGGAAGGGTTTGGGGATGGGGAGAAGGGAGGGAGCAGGACTGTGGATGGCAGTTCACGTCCCCCCAAGCAGACATAACCCTTCACACAAATCATCAGGGCTGAGGGTTGCAGCCCTCCACACCTCCAGAAAAATGAGAGATTCCAGGCTGTGTCAGCTGCCTGGAAAAAGGATGCATTTGGCACAGCAGAAGCAACACTCTGGCAAAGACAGGGAAGTCACAGCAGCAGCTCAGCACGGGTAAATGAAATCAAGCAACACGTGTGATGGATCTTCTCCTGAGCTTTGGCAGAGCTCCCAGCACCGCTGAGGCACAGAGTGTTTTTCCCTGGGGATCTGACCGGCCCAGGGAGGGTCATGGGGGTAAAGGAGATAAGGCATTTAGGAGGGATGGAGAGGTGCCAAGAGGCCTTGGTTTATCTCCCCTGCTATGCCACTGCTCCCTGAGTGCTGCACCATGCCTGGGAGCCCATCCATGCTCTCCGTAGCCTCCTTGCTGCAGCACCCAGTGCTGGGTGCTCTCATCTCCCTCTGGCCTCTGTTTGATCCCCCCTGAGACCCCCAGCCCTGCCCCTAACACAGCACCCAGCATCACCCTGCCCTGGTGTTCAGGGGCAGGATGTTCTCTGTGCCCAACCCACCACTGCCTCTCTGGGTTGTGCTCTTCCCCTGAGCCGAGCAACCTGCAAGCAGACTCAGGTGAAATCCAAGTCAGAAAGTTGCTCCCTTTTATCCCTTAGCCCCAGCATGTTTACAAAGAAAGAAGGAAATTCAGTATCCCTCCAAAACCCGTGCCATTCCCTCCTCCTCCTCCCCTGGGTATTCCAGCGAGCTGTGAGCAGCATCCTTGCAGCACTGAACTCACAGCACCACCTCTGTCCCTGCAGCAAACGAGACCAATCGCCTGAGGGAGGAGAATAAAACTCTCAAGGAAGAACTGAAGAGGCTCCGGAGCCTGGAGTAAGCACTTTCCTGGTTTCATTCTTTACAAGGAGCATTGGCAACAACCAGGGCATCCCCAGAGCTGGGCAGGGACACATCCAGACTGTGGCATCCTCAGGGGTATTTTAGCATCTCGTGGGTATTTAGCAAGGGGTATTTAGCAAGTCTCGTGGGTTCCTGTATATGTAGGACATGGAAAAATCCCTAATGGTCTCAAAATCCTCGTTGACCTTTCCTCACTCCCCTTTTCACCATCATCCAACGATTCATTTTTGGGGAGCAAAGATATTTAACCCCTTGGAAACAAAGCCCTGGGCAACTTGCATGGGCCTCAGCCTGGAATCCTATGGCTTTTCCCTGGCACCAGCTCCTCTCCTGCAGCAGCCAGAGAGTCTGCAGGAAGAAGGTGGTTTAGGTGGTTTTGGGGGAAGGAGAGTGACACACAAGGGACTGTGATGGGGTTAAAGATGAAGAAGTGATCTGCACCAACAGGTTCACAGCCCAGCAGAGCACTGTGCTGGAAGCCAAGTAACCTGCCAGGCTGGCCAATATATACAAATCAGCTCATTCCTCAAGGGTTTAAAGTCCAGAGGAATTAGCACTGAGGGATTAGTTTAGAAATGTGTTTTCTTTGGAACACAGGAGCACCATCCACTTAAAGAGAAACCCTGGCTTTTACTCCCCAGTGCTTCCCAAGAGCTGAGTAGCTCCAGAGCTGTAGGCTGGGCTGGGCTTGCTGAGCACTGAGTGATTCTTCTCTGCTCTGCTCTCCTCTGAGATGCTGGATAGGAAGATTTCCAGCCAAACATCCATGTCTCAGCATCAGAGTCCATCCAGGACTCTGTGTGTGTCTCCAAGGCTCAGGCACTCCCTTGTGTCACTACGAGCATCAGCCTCTCCACATTGATTTGGTGGCAGGGGGCAGACACCACATCCCTGTGCTGAATCCACCCCTCCATCAGGCTGAAAGCCCAGACAGGGACAGGTTCCCACAGAGCTTTTGCAACAGCCACAGCTGGGTCCTGACTTACCCAACATTGTGGCTTCCTGAGACGTTACCCACAACCAAGTGGGGCAATCACACCTCGGGCTGTCGTGCTGGCTCTGTCCATGCCCCAGACTGCAGCTGGGCTACTGATAAGCTGCAATGGAAGGAGGTGAGTCTGAGGATCCAGTATATCCACATACACACACACACAAATATGTACATTTGTGTATCAGGCTTGGAGCTCTCTGTACAGTGGCTCCAAAACCTTCCTTCCCCTTCTCATTCTCCTGCCCCTTCTCATTCATTCATGTCCTTCTCCTTCCAACAGGGACAGGGCAAAGACCCCAGGAGTCTCCTCCAGAGAAAGCTGCTCCACACCAAGCTCCCCTTTGACTTTACTGTCCCCAGTGAGCAGGAATGTCAGCACAGAGAAAGCAGAGCACAAGGAAGCAGAAGAAGCCCACCAGGATGTGCCAGACCTCGAGCTCAGTGAAGGTGGGTGTTGCTGGCTCCTGCCACCCTTGAGGGAGCTGTGGATGTGAGGAGTGACTGAGCCATGGCGCAAAACTGCTCTGGAAAAGGGTCTGGAGAGCAAAGACCAAGCTGTTGGCAGCTCAGCTGGACATTGCCATGGGCAGAAAAGCTGATGGGGGGAGAAATGCAGGTCAAGGGAGAAAGAGCCTGCTCTGCATTAGAGCAAAAGAGTGCTTGGGTGCCCTCACTGAAAGAAATTAATGCAGAGACCATGGCATTCCCTTCCTGCCACCCACACATGTAAAGAAGGGCACGTTCAGTCAGGTGCTGGCTTGAGCCAGAAGGTGATTTTGATTCAAAATCTTCACTGAGAGGTGGTTGGTACCAGCCAGTGGCATCCCTGGGAGGCTGCAGGGCTGCAGCCCACTGCAGGGCAGGGCTGCAGCAGCTCTGGGGGACCACTATGGCAGCTGGTTGTGTCTTTTTTTGCAGAAAAGCCTCCAGAGAAGCTCCAGAGAAGCTCTCCAAGCAGCAGGACTTCTCCGGGCACTGTTCTCCAAGAAGTCAGCCTTGCAGAAATTGTGAGTTTTCAGAGGTAGCCTGATGTCCTCAGGCCTTCTCCCCACTGCTGTGGTCATCTGAACCAGATCAAGACAAGCAGATTGGCATAGGGGAAGAGTAGGAAGCACCTGGGGGGTGGAACAATTAGCCATTTTTATTTGTCATTTTCGGAGGGCCTGACATTCAGTGGTTGCAAGGACAAACACAGAGAGGGTGTCTCCGAGGGCTGCTGAGTGATGTGGTGACACTGGGCACTGGGAGATGGGACTGCAGGACCCGGACCTTGTTCCTGGTCATGGGAACTCAAGCCCACGTACACACCCACACAGATTCTCCTGCTTTGGCACAGGTTTTGCTTACTCGACCTCCGCAAAAGACTTGAAAGAGCAGGTGAAAAGGGGTTTTGGTAAGGCTGCAGGCAGGCTGTGGGGATAATTAATAGGGATCGCAGGAAGGGTTGGTGACATCTCCAGGTGGGCAGGGGAAAGTCAAGTCAGAACATGTGGAGAGGCTTTCATGACAGCTGATGGAGACAACAATGTCCTGGCCCAGGCACTCCACCAGAAATACACCCACCGAAGCAGTGTGTGCCAGGAGCTTGCATGAATAAAGTCCTGCATGAGTAGAAAGGCCTGACCATGGGAAAAGGAATTTGCAGGGTTTTATCTTGATTAAGCCACTGAATCATGATTTAAGAGGAGATGCAAAACTTCCTGTGCTACAAATCTGTGCAGCCAGAAAATAGAGAGTACACGAAAGGAAAATTCCCCAGAAAAATGAATAAAAGCTTGATAAAGCTGTTGACCAGAACCATATCAAGCAGCACACTCAGGAGATGTCTGTGTTGTTCTCGCTGGTGAGGAGAGGTGTCCCAGTTCAGCCGGGCTCCCTGGAGGCTGGGGCACACTGCAGAATGGCTCACCTGGACTTTCTGTCCTCTGCCACAGGCGTCCCAGAGGATTTCCAACCAGCTGCATGGAACCATTGCCCTGGTGAGACCTGGCTCCAGACCCTGCCTCCTGGAGAAGAGTCCTTCAGGGGCAGCAGTGTCTCCACCAGCGAGGAAGACTCCTCTCCCTCCAGAGCGTGAGCACAGCCCCAGCCTCGAGGCGTGAGTACCAGCTCGGGAGTCGTGGTGTGGGTCTGACCCACAGCTCATTGCAGCTGTCCCTCAGTGGATGGATGGCCAGTATTCACTGTGCCTGTCCACCTTCCTCTCCAAACTTCTCTCACAGCCTTGGGAAGGGGGAGATATCCCAGTTTACAGCAGTAGAAGATGACTGGAATCCAGCCCAACAAGATCAGGCTCTCGTTATTCCAGCTCCTCAGACAGACCCACAAAGTGAACGGGGTGCCCTCACATCCAGGCAGAAGGACTGTCCCAGGCAGGCAGCAATTCCTGCTCCTCCTTATCTATTCTAATGGGCTTTCCTGCAGGGCTCAGCATTTCCCAGGCTTATCCCACTGATTTCAGGAGCACAGGCCAGCGAGTTCACCTGTAGAGACAGTTTCCAGGAGTGTGAGTAGCTCTGCTGAGCATTCCTGGGAACAGCTTGCACTCATGGCAGCGGCCAAATAACCAGCAGCAGCAGGGACTGGGTTTGCAGGGCAGGTTCCTGCACTGTACCAACCTTCCTAGGATGGCTGTAAAAGTTTCCCATTGAGTGAGATTAAGGGAAGGTGGGCTGTTCCTCTGTCCCGGGGGTCTTCAGGCACTGAGAAAGCCCAGGAGGGTAGTTAAGATGTTGCTGGCTGTAAAACATTATTTAAAAAGTGACTTCTCAGCAGCAGTGCTGATGTGAGAAGTCACTGCATCCTTACCCTCACTCAAGCTCCTGCCTTGAGCTGCCATGGCCTAGGGACAGGGGATTGCTGCTGGATGGTGGGATGGGAATGGCTTCCACTGTGTGGAGACCCACTGCTGACTGCCTGATACCCCTGGCCACCAGGACCCTCCTCCCCAGCACAGAACCCAAAGACAAGCATGATGTACTGGCCAAGAGCTGCAGAGCTGGGAAACCGTGGGGAAAACTCTGATGATAATGTGATTTTTTTTTTTTTTCTGACACGATCTACCTAATGTAATTTTTTTTTTCCACGCTTTTTAAAGCTATTTAACAGCGAGCAAACTGGACTCCCCCAAGGTTGCTCCATCCTATGAAAATCTCAAACTGAGTGCCCGGAGAGAGCAGCTGTGCCTGCTGCACAAGCACCTTTCCCTGCAGCAGCTGGGGCTGGCGGGTCCCTGCGCCCCGGCGGAGCGGGACAGCCTCCCCAGCCCCCTGCTCCGCACCAAGGCTGCCGAGAGCAGGACGCGCTCCCGGGACAGCTGGGAAGAGCACGCAGCCTTGCTGAAGCTTCCTGCCACCATGGTGTACGTGAGGGACCAGCACCTGGAGGAGAAGCTGCAGCTCCTCAAGCACCGGGAGCGGCTGCAGCATCTCCTCCTGCAGCAGTGCCAGCCGGGCCAGCGGGCACACGGCGACACAAAGCCCCCGCCCGGCGAGCGGCCGCTGTCCCCGTGGCTGGGCATCGCGGCGGCGTGCAAGGAGGAGAGGTTCCTCCTGGAGGATGCTGCGGATGGCAAGGGAGAGAAGGAGCTTTGGCTGGGCAGGGAGCGCTGCGAGCTGCGAGCCAAGGTGAAGGAGGCGAGGGACGATGATGCGGACGCGCCCCTGGACCTGTCCGAGCCCGGCCGCGGCAGGGACACGGACCGGCACGGCCGGAGGGACAGCCCCGGGGACAGCCCGGCTGTGGCCGCAGCCCGCGGGGGACACCGGGCACAGCGGGACGACCTGCGCTGCCCCTACCACTGGCCCAGTGCCACCCGGCCACTGCCTGGGGCCGCCAAGGAGGAGGAGGAGGAGGAGGAGGAGGATGCAGCTGTGGTAAGTGCAACTTTTGCTGGCGTGGACTGCAGCCCCTTCCCCACCCCAGGGTGTCCAGCACTGCTGCTGGGACCATTGTGACCGGCATTAATATCCTGTGGGAGGATGAGTTTGATATGTGTGAAGTCAATTTGCACAGAGCCAATTCCTGCTATGGTGTACTCCCTTTACCCACCGTTATTTCTGTTTAAACGTGATTTTTTGCCGCGAAGGCAGAGCACAGCCACCTCCCCTCCAGTGTCCACAGGGGTTCCATCCATGCCCAAGGGCAGGCAGTGCCTGTGCCCCCTCCCTCAGGCTGCTGCAGGGGCTGCTGGGCTCCCAGCAAGCTCACCACAGTGCACAGGAACATCTCTGTGATGCTTGTCCCTGTGGGTGTCACAGTCACCATATAAGGGCTGGGGACAATCCTCTCCTGCTGGTGACAGCAGCGTTCGTGATCCCTGTTTGTATCCCTGTGTCCCACAGCTCACGCTTTCACGGGCATATCTGACAAACAACTCCACACCCAGCGACCCAGAGGCACTTCCCGAGGCTGGGATGAGACGGGATGTCAGTGCACAGAAGGGAGAAGCAGGTAAGAAGCCCCAGGCAAATGTGACATTTGAGAAGGCAAGAGTGAAAGGTGCCTTTTGGTGAAGGCATTTCCCAGCCCAGAGCTCTCTGCCGGGCTCTGCACACACCTGCAAACCCACGTTCCAGGGACCAAGTGCTCCTGCCTCCCAACTCTTCTGGGCCTTTGGGGCAACTTCAGGTTTCTCAAGGACATTTCTGTCCTTGAGAGTTCGATTTTCTACCCTAGATATGTGCAAAATTCAAGCTCTGCATATATGGGGAGAAAGTAATCCCAGTTCTTCTGGAGAAAAGCCCAATGTGTCTGTCCAGCACAGACAGGAGCCACCCATGGCGTGTCCTTGCACACTCAGCAGATCACCCTGCACTCCATGCTGAGGGCATGGAATTCTCCAGGAGCTGAGGAGTCAGTGTAGCTCCAAACACTTGGGAAAACCCACTCTGCAATGAGCAGCAATGAGACAATATTTGCTGCTCCAGCATTTCCCACACCTCTCAGGGAAGAAGCAGCTCAGAATGTCCCAGCAGAGATGGGGGAAACACAAGAGGTTTGCAAGATTAGCACTGGAAAACCATCCCTGTCTGTCCCCTTGCTCCAAAGTGTGTCCTGTGATGACACAGCACATAGGGGTGCACAGAGCCAGGGATGCTGGTACGTACAGCAGGTAGGTCAGGATGGTTTCCTTCCTTTCCTTACTCCATCCCCCATAAAAGCCCTTCCAAGGCTTTCTCCCTGCCTGACCCCACAAGACACAGGTGCCAGGTTTGTCCAGGCAGGTGGGAGGCAGCAGCCATGGGGATCAGAGTGGGAAGCACGTCTGCTGGGAGCTGCTCAGTACCAGCCTTACTGGCTTGGCCAGAAAGTTGAGCTCGCCTGGATTAGTTGGTCTGGGCGTGTCGGAGTGGTTTGGGAACACTCTCTGGAGCAGGACTTTTCACGGTGGAAAAAAAAAAAAAAAAAGGAGTCCTGTGATTTACATGCTAAGAAGATATCATCATGGCAGAAGAATTTCAGCTGATTACATTCTGGGTGTGGGAATACAAGACTTTCTTCAGTTCTCACCTTAAGGTTGACACAAAGCCCGGGAAACAATACACAAATACTTCTGCACTTTCTAGTGAACCTTAACCTGCAGAAGGATAAGGTGAGGATGGGATCAGGCTACAGGGAATCCAGGAGTGCCTGGAAGCAGCATCACCTGCTCTCCCACCTCTGCAGGGGCAGCAAGAGGGGGCTGCTCTGCTGAGCTCCATCCTGGCAAGTACTGAGTTTCTGGGGTGCCCCCGTCCCTCAGAAGAGGGCACAGCCCTGTGCCCAGCCCTTGCTGCCCACCTTGGCCAGTCGAGGTGTGCAGACAGGGTGATGTCACCACCAGCAAGGCTTGGCACCCAGCCCATAGAGACTCAGTGTGTGCAGAGGTCAGGTGTGTGCAGGTACATGTCTGGGGCCGTGTAGCCCCAGGGTCTGTGTACAGTGAAATGCTTTTACTGAGAAGGGAAATATCTGCCTTTCCTTCCTCTGCTCCTCAGCACACATTCCCTGCCAAGAGCCACTGACTGAACCATCAGCAAACGTGGGATTTTCCCTCTCGTCCTCTTCACCCCAACATGCTTCTTCCCACCTGGGGCTCAAACAGGAAGGTGCAGTCTGGGGCTTAAATACCCCCCAGTTTCCCACCTGTATGTAGCCACAGATGTTGGAACAGCTCTCGTGACCTTGGCATAGCAAAGTCCTGTGGATACAGCTTTCCTGGGAGCTGGTTTCCCAATAGAGTCCTGTTGGGTCACTCCAAAACATTCATTCTATGCCACGTAGCTTGTAGTGCCTCTGCTTCACAATAGCTTATTGCTGAAGCTGCTTTCTGCCTCAGTGGCTCTGCGAGCCTGGATCAGTGGCTCTGCATCTGCTCATGAGCCTGTCAAGCCTCCCACCAGCCTAAAACCCTTCTTTTTGTGTTTCTTTAGATGACAATGATGCCGAGTCCGGGAAGCAAGAATCCGATGAGCCAGACACGACGGACAGCGAGGTTTGTTTGTTTGTTCTTCTCAGCCATCAGCTTCGGCTGCTGGGTCCCAGAGGCATCAGACAGGTTGTCCCAGCTCAAGCTCCCTCCAGAAGGTGATGGCTCTTCCTGCTCCAGGTGCCAAACCTCATTCCCACCCTGTTGCACAACTTGCTGCTAAGGGGTAGAAATGCCACTCTTTCCAGACAAGTCAAGAATGTTTATGAACAATAGCATTTGTCATCACTCCATAGCAATGATCACAAAGGTCCCTGGCAATGCCACCAGCTCCCTGGGAAAGCCAGGGTAGTTTGTAAACTAACTGTTCTTCTCGTTGGTGTAGGAGAAGTATGAAGATGAGATCCTGCAAGAAGCTGAGGCTGACGGGAAATACTTTTGCACCAAAGACAAAGTTCATGTGCAGCAGAGGAAGAGAAAAAGAGGACAAGATCCCTGGATTAAAGGTAGGGAGGAGAAGTTCCTTGGGGGATCAGCTCAGGGCTACAACTTCTGCTGCTTCCAGAGAAACTCCTGTGAGAAATGCCCAAAGACAGGGGACAGGAGAGTTCTCCTCTGTTCTCCTCTAAGCCATATTTTGGCAATACTGGTATCTCCAGCCAGAGGAGCCCCTGCTAATGGTTAGCCAGGACAGCCTGGGCAGGGTGACCAGAAGAGCACCCCAAGCACCTAAGCTAACAGAGTTTAGTCCCTTATGTTTGCTTATCTGGTCAGGGAGGCAGTGCCTGGGGGAGGCCAAATTCCCAGGGGTGAGTTATTGACATTGAGAGAAAGGTTTCTGCCAGTTCTGTTGATCTTTCAGTGTGGTTGTAGAGGTTTCCCTGCTGACAGAGGAATGTGTTGTACCCATGTTTCCTACAGGTGAATAAGCAGAAAACTGCTCCTGATAAGGAGCAAGGATAAGACAGTTTGTCTGTCAGGCCTTAAAAAATGCTCTGTCAGAAAAACACTGCTGCTCACCTGCTCTGTTCTGGTGCTAAAAACACAGAAGTGTTGGCCCAACCATAAATGTAGAGAGGGCTGTTGCTTAAGCTTGAAGGGAGCTTGTTTAAAAGTCCAGCCTTCAGAGGGCCCTGCTCACCCAGGGAACACCACCAGAGCTGGGTGACAAGAGGATTTGCTGTACAAAACCAGCCTCTTGGAGCAATAGGGTGGAAGCTGTCCTGTGTGACCAGGGCAGACACATCTAACCCTCCAGGACTGGATGGGGATGTCCCAAGAGAGAGGTGGGTGCAGCTGTGGCAGGAATGGGGTGATGGAGGGGCATAGCATCTCTCTCAGCATGTGGTGTGGGCCATGAGCCACACTGGAATGGGAAGAAATCCATGGAATGCATCTTGCTGGTCTGGGTACCCTCTCATGGATGCTTCTGCATCCAGGTCAGTTCTCTGCCTGTTTCTGTTTCACATGTTGTTTTGTGTCCAGGATCACAACAGTCTCCCCTGGATACCCACACATCTCACATGTGAGGGGTTTCTTTTCATCTTTCCTTTGCAGAGCTTTGCTTCCTCCTGCACTGTCCCTACTTTGGGATGAGGCCATGCTGACTCCAGAAGTGTAAATCCATTTCTCTGTGGTTAACTCCTGCTGTCATCTGGCTGTTTACAGGATCTAAGAAGTCAATGAGAGGAAAAAAGAAAATCAAAGTGGAGCAATGCCCGGTGGGGATCACAAAGGAACTGGAGAATTGCTCTGCTTCCCACAGTGATCCCTCCAAGGAGAGTTAACAGCAGGGCAGGATGGAGCAACTGCAGACCAAAGGAGAGGGCTCAGAGACCTCAGAATCCCACCCATGCTGGGAGAGTGAATCCTCCTGTCATGCTGGGCCAGGCAGTGGGGAATTCATAAGGACTCATTTAGGAGTGAAGCACTCTGAAATTCCTCACTCAGTGCCACAGGAGAGGCTGGGCAAGGACGAGCCATGCAGGTGACACCTGGAGCAGCCAGGTCACTGCTGCTGGAGCCCCACAGTCAGTGACCCCAGCCCTGTGCCAGAGCAGACCCTCAGACTGGAGCTAGGAAGAGGAGATGTCTCTTTGTAACCCTCACCCTGCATCAGAACCATGTTCTTCCCTGGGATTCCACATTTGGAGAATGGACTACCGGACCCCTCTGCTCATGAAGGATGTTCCAGGGGCTGGTTGAGGGGTGGTGACCAAACCAAACACTGCAGAGCCCCATGCACAAACCTGCTTCAATTAAATCCCTACCCAGGTTTCATACACACGTGGATCTTGTCTGACCTGGGGAAAGTCTACAGTTTTCTTTTCTAGTTAAGTGAGAAGCAAGTACGTGGGCAGACAGGTGGGATGTGTCTCTGGGGTGGGCAGGGAGAAGAGCACGGGAAGGGAGAGTTTGGGTGCTCCCGCTCCCCAGAGTGTCCTGCATTGCCTGGAAAAGGTCGGTGTGTGAGACCCAGCTGTAGCTCACAGCAGAGCACCAGCTCAGCAGTTCACACTGACTTTGGCAGGTTTGCTGGGAGCTGTTTTTCCCGTAGATAAACTGTTTTTAGTAATTTTTTTCTAATGGGATGAGATGGGAAGGGCCTCACTGAGCATCCCTGCTCACAACATCGACCCAGGAGCCAGGATGGGTTGTTCCAAATGATGTCTTGGGTTTTAGATTTTTCCAGGCATCACTGGCACATAGGTGGAGAGCAGGGACTAAACAGAGACCAGCAGAGAAGTGCCGGAGCCAATTCCTGCTGTGATGTACTCCCACTTCCTTTACCTGCTGTAATTTCTATTTAAACGTGGTTTTTTTGCCTGTTCACATGAACGAAGGCAAAGCACAGCCAGCCGAGAGCAGCACCCTTTGCTCATAGCACCGCAACCCTGAAGTCCCATTCAGAGAGCCCCGTGGAGCCGGGGCGGGAGGGGCCAGCACTGCCCGGGGCAGCCCCGCACGCACCTAGCCGGGCGGGACCGGGACCGGAACCGGTGCGGGAGCGGGAGTGGTGTGGGCTGTGCGGGAGCGGTGCGGAATCGGGAGAGCTGCGGGACCGGTGCGGGAGCGGGAGTGGTGTGGGCTGTGCGGGACCGGTGTGGAATGGGACGGGGGGTAATGCAGGACCGGGACCGGAGGCGGTGCGGGTGGTGCGGAACCGGGACCGGGAGCGGTGTGAGCGGTGCGGAACTGGGACCAGGACCGGGGGCGGTGTGGGCAGTGCAGAACCGAGACCGGGACCGGGAGCGGTGTGAACAGTGCGGAACCGGGACCGGGAACGGTGCGGGTGGACTGTGCGGAACCGGGAGCGGTGCGGAACCAGGACCGGGAGCCGGAGCGGTGCAGAACCAGGACCGGGAGCCGGAGCGGTGCGGAACCAGGACCGGGAGCCGGAGCGGTGCAGAACCAGGACCGGGAGCGGGGGCGGTGCGGGCGGTGCGGCGGGCGGGCAGTGCCGCCTGCTGGGCAGAGCCGGGCCGGGCCGGGCCGGGCCGGGGCCGCTGCCCGAGCTCGGGGAATACGGGTCAGCCTCCCCAGGACACAGGCGGTGAGCCTCTGATGGCTGCGGGGCCACGGGAAACACCCGGCAGCTCCAGCAGCGGGGATGGAGCGGGAGTCCCGCGGGGCTGCTGCTGCTGTCACGGAATTTCACAGGAGCGAAACTTTCCCAGGCTGAAAAATTACTGGGACAGCCCTCATCTTCCTCCTGTCTTCACGGCTTGGATGATGAGGGAGGGTCTGGAGCAGGGATGTGCTGAGGGAAGTGCGGGGGCTCATCCTGGAGAAAAGGAGGCTCAGAGGGGACCTTTTCCCTCTCTACAACTCCCTGGAAGGAGGTTGTAGCCAGGTGAGGATTGTTCTCTTCTCCCAGGTAACAAGTGACAAGACAAGAGGAAAACTGCCTCAAGCTGGACCAGGGGAGGTTCGGATTGCATGTTAGGTAAAAATTTTTCACAGAATGTGTTATCAAGCACTGGAACAACCTGCCCAGGGCAGTGCTGGGGTCACCAGGGTTGCAGGGCTGATCTATCCCAGCTCGAAGTGTTCATGGGATCATGGCCATGGGAAGTGGATCAGGATCACCACAGACGCTTTCCCTTCTAGTCCTGGGCAGACAGCACAACGTCTGTCCCTTCTTAGACTAGTTTGGAGGAGAGAGCAATAACCCACTGAACACAGCAATGAATTGGATAAATGTGTATTAAAAATACCCCAGCAAGGAAAAGGAAAAAAAAAGGAGAGAAGTTGAAATGCAATCCCATAAAGAGGCCCCTCAGACTGTAGGGAGGTTTCTTGGGATCAGGAGAAATGAAGGAGGGAGGGAACTTTTGTGGACTATGAAATAATCACCTCCCTATGACAGTCCCTTGATAAGCAAAATGTGCAGAAGTCCTGCCAAGAATAATTAAGTCCTCAATTCCTTTTCTTCCTGATTTTTTCCTGAAGACTTTTTTTCCTTCATATTGCACGACAGCACCACAGAATCCACCTTAAATTATTGGGCTTTTAATACCATTTATGTTGCCTTTTTTGTGTTGTCATTAGACAATTTCACCCGTCTCTCATGCTGGGTGTGTTTGAGGGGCTGACAGGGACACATATTTCACAGTTAGGGCAATCCCATATCTGAAAAAACAAAAAGTAGTTTTGTCAGCTCTGAGCAAAATGTTCCTCTGAGCAAGTTGTTGAAGTAAATTAAATTTTATATGCTGCACTTGATCCAGCCCTGGAATTTCTCTGCTCCTACCATTCCCTTGCTCGTACCTCCTCACCATGTTACAGAGAGACGGATAATTGCAGACGTCCATTAATTCTCAAAATTATGTTTGTCAGTCTTTTGTTCAAGTCATTCTTGACAGGTAAATGCATGTATTGATCTGGTGATATGCAGGCAGCCTCAGACTTGAATTATTCTGCTGTAAGGAAGAAATCTGAGCCCTGCAAGCAGCTCTGGATCTCTGCAGAGGTCTCCATGTGGAGGCTCAGCCCTGCCTGAGGTGCCGTGTTTGCAGGAACACACAGGGCAGCATTCAGCACAGCAGCGTTTTAATGATTCCACATGAGCTGGGTTAATGAGTCCAAATGGTATTTGTGTACCAGACCCAGCAGTCTCTGCTTTTTGCAGAATTAATCCCTTTTGTTGCCACAATTTCGTTCAGTACAAGAAGGAAGTTTTACACAATAATCTTCAAAAATGCACTGAAATTACCCTTAGAGTGCATGAGTTACATCCCACACAGCAACAGAGCAGAAGGGAAGCTGTCCCAAGAGCAGGTCACTTCTTCTGGGAGGCTGGCAGCTCAGACTTGTTTTGTTCAGACAAATTACAGCTCTGATGTCACCAGTGCTGTGATGTAGCTGGGACATCTGGGCCAGTGGTTTCCCAGAGGAAGGGGTTCAGAGCCCAGCTTGGGTTCACCCAGGTCAGGGGCTGGATGTGAAATTGTACAGAAATCTGGGAGAGAGATGATGTCACCATTTCTGTTCACTTTTAGTCCATCAGAAACAGCAATGAGTGGTTCCCTTATTGCCTGTCAGACCAAACAATTCCCGTAACAGACCACTGCAACTCCTTTGCTTCCTGGTGCTTAAGAATCTGCACATGCTGAATCATCCTCACAGCACAGGGCACTGCTCTCAGCTCTCAGACCCTCCAGGCCTCCCTGAGCATCCACCTCCCACCAAACTCACTAGGAAAATTACATTTTCTGTTTCTCTCTAGGCTTAATTTGTAAAATTTTGTAAGAAGGAAATTTGTGCGAGTTGAGCCATGAGTGTAAATCTCCATCTCGGGGGGAAAATAATCTCCCACTGCACAAAGATTCCTCTGTTGCATGTGTAAGGGAGACAGGCAGGTAGGAAGTCCCACAAGCTCAAAGCAAGAGGGAACTGTGCTGGGAACTCAGCTGGCTGCAATGCAGGATCCAAAAGCTCCAGAAATAGAGATATGCACATCAGATTCTTCCCCCTCACAACCTTCTGCTGTGGCACTGCCTTCATAGCAATAGATAATTTGAAGGTGATTTAATCCATGTCCTTTCCATGAGCCTGAGCACCACCTTCTCTGCAGTGAAATGCTTTTAGCTGCAATCTGGTCTGAAAGCAGTGCCCATTTATAGTGCTGGCTTTGGAAACACAGCTTCACTCCTCAATCCACCACAGGAAAACTCATTCCAAGCATTACTGGAGTCTTGCTCCAATCCTGTTCTGGGGATTTAAGTGGAATGGACATTTTGTGTAGGTCCTTCCCAGAGTCAGATGTGCCCTGAATGGGTGAAAAAGGCAGAAAAAGAACGCTGGCAGTCTCACATGCAGCTCTGCAGTTCACAGCCAGGAGCACAGAGGGAACGGGGACAGGGACAGCTTGGGTGTTCAGAACAGAGCATAGGGACAAGCCTTCACACTTTTGAAAGGAGGCTGTGAAGTTGTGGATAGATTTAGCAAATCCAGCAAGCAGTAGCGATTCTTGGAAGTGAGAGGTTTGGGGAGTTCCTTTGCTCCTTTATCTCAAGCAAAATTTACTGTAGGAATTTTTGAGCCAAAGTGCAAGTTCTCCTTGCATCCCTTGGCTATCACAGCTTTCTGCTCTGCCTTGAACATTTTCACCAACACTTCAGGAGTTCCCTAGGCTGTACTACATACCCTGCTCATATCAAACTTGCTGTTGGATGTGCTGAACTCCAGTGGGACCTCTCCAGAAAGCACATTTTCCAAGATTCTTCCATGAAAATTATTGATTTATTAATAACAGCATTTAGTGCGGCACCACATGCTTCAGGGAAGAGAGTTTGATCCATTCATTCACAAATCCTCCTGTAAACAGCACGCAACATTTTCCTGACCCGAGCACAGGGCCCTTCTGAGTGCAGAGATATGATTAAATCAATCAGCTCCATGTCTTTTAAATACTCTGTGCCATGCAGGAGACCCCGAGTCATTCTCCAAGGCACACAGGGCTGCTGGCAATGTCTGCCTCCTGAGGAGCAGCAGCTGATTTGCTGTAACTGTGAACATGCAGCAGGAGCAGAGGATTGTGTCACACACCAGGGCGAGCACATGGCAATCCAGGGAATTCTGCTACTCTGCTCCAGCAGCA